CTTCTAGTCAGCTTGTACCTCCTCACTTCTGGTGTCCTAATTTTCCTTATACCCCTAGCCTTGGAAATGTTTTGAGAAAGTGCTTTACCCATCACCACTAGGCTATTATTGAAACTATGCTCTTTCCTTTTTCTTGGAAACCAAGTACTTCTCGAGTGATTATCATGTTTCTATATCTTAATAAAATAGTGCCTATTCTATTTGCTTTTGCAGGCCAAGATTCTATTAGATGAAGTTTTCAACAGTAGAGGTTTCACTGCTTGGCTCTGTTTTTTTTTGCTTTCTATAAAACCCTCTATGGAAACATTTTTCAATGTGGGTTCCATTAGATTAGTTTAGTGTGGCAGTTATTCCCTGAAAGATTATGTCCTGGAGTAACTGAACTGGATTTTTGAATTTTTTGAGCCATTGAAGTTTTCTCTTAAGTTATGTAACGGGCTGGTTCCTTGTTTTCTTTGGTTTATGCTGTTGCCCCTATGAATATTGCTTATTTTTTCTCTTCCGGTACCTCATACCTCTTTGTTGTATATTAAAAATTTCAAGTACTTGGCCTAGTTTTGAAAATGGACTGTCTGTTGTGGATATTTAGCATAATTCTAGAATACACAATTTGCATAGTGTAGGAAACATGCTATTGCCATGCTTTCTGTATCGGCATGCAGTGTACGGATGCTGGTTGTGCTGACAAATTTTTGGCGTGTACTTTAAAGAGGAGGCAACCATGCTTGCTTGATGGAATCTGACGATAATTGATGTGGTGACTGGTTGTATAAAGAGAACATGGATTTCTATTATAATAATTGTTTAGTTGGTAGCCTGACATTGGTCAACTTGAAGGAATCATGGTGTTGGATGATTTATATCACCTCTCCTTCCATGGCTTCATCTTCTTGAAGCTCCGTAAATATGCTTTCATGGATTTGCCTCTACTTGTTTTTGTTCTTGGATTTTTGGATCTCCTGTTTTCATGGTGTTGCAGAGATTGTTCCTGGACCCAATCAGGTTTTCTCTCATATGTTATGGTTTTTTATCTTCATTGGTTCTCAGTGTGTCGAAGTATGAGTTGATTCTTGCAATGTTGTGGTATGTTATTGTATATGACATCTTGGATGAAGGAACCTTGGTTTCCAGCATTAAGTTTAATATCTGTAGACAGAACAGTGTTAAGATCTAACTCGACAAGCACCCTACCCTAGCCTACTCCCTCGTCCTATGATCTTTTGTTGATTAGTCCATGGCGATGAGTGTCCTATTGTTCCTGCTATTGATCCTATATAATCATTGGATGCCAACAGTAAATGGGAATCTTGGCATTTTGGTCCAGGCAAGTTCTTCTTTTGTTCCTGACTTCAGGCAGCCCTCTCGTCTTTGTTACTTGAATATTTAACCATCTAAGGGCCATGGGCATCCCTTGTAGACATTTTCTAGGTCTTCTGAAATTTGGAGATAAGGTGGCTGTTTACCCTTGCAGTGAACTTGCCTTGCAGTTTCCAGATAACTTGGAACGTTTCATTGTGAAGCTTTATGCGGGATGTAGGCCATTGAAGTAACTCACCAGGCATACTTGAATTTGTTCATTGCTACGTGCACCATTTGTTGAAATGTTTTACTATCACTCGGCCATCCGTTCTTTGTGCAATAGGAGGGGTGTAGTGCTCAAATTTTGAGCTTTTATGCCCATCGAGAAGTATTTTGAAATAGTTTTTGTGGTTGGTTTGGGATTTGGCCATTTCCATGGTTCTTACTATTTGCAGGCTTGATTTTGGTCTTGTGAGGTGGCTGAGGTTGTGGCTGGGGAGGTGGACTGAGGTGTAAGGTTCAGGTGGTCGACAGGTGTTGATAGAACTGTTTTGTCGTTCTCTTTGTAGTCTTATTCCATCTTCTATCAAATCTGCCTACAACATTTTTTGTTGGCTTCTTTATGGACAATAATAAGTTCCATTGGTACAACAAGAGCTTATATGAAGCACCTTTTTTGTGTTTTGGGATGTGGTGGTCAGGTATTTAAGGTTTATGTATTACCATTTGCTACATAAATTTAACTGGTAATTCTGTTATTCTTTACGTAACACCACACAACTGATAACATGCAGTTGTATTCACATATACATACGGACACCATAGAGACATTCATTTGCTTTCTGTGCTTGTATCGAAAGAAGCATTCTCAGACAAGGCTGAGCTCGAGACTGAATTTATAATCACTGCTTTTATGAGATGCATCAAATTGTTTAATCTTATGATTTTGATTTGTCTTGTCCTTAAATTGAACTTTTGTATTGTTCTCCTGGTAGTTTCATATATCATGCCAAAGGAGTTCCATAGCATATTCTGGTTGCAACTTACATATTGCTTCTTGTTTTGTAGATGGATAACTGTAGTCTCTATGGCATTTGCCACCTATGCTTTCCATGAATTTCTCATGGTGAATTTTTGGAAATTTGGAATAGATGCATGATGTATGGGAGCTTAGTATTCTTTGGATGACAGATGGGTGATGAAAAGTTGGATAAAGATCATGAAAAGCCATAGGGTGTCATTTCATTTAAAGGTTAAATGTGCGTGTTGCTGGCGGTACTTGATAGAATTGCTGTGAATTCTGTTCTCTTTCTTCCTGAGGGCTACTATGAACTGTATGTTCTCTTGGTTCTAAGTTGTACAATGTTTATTGATAATTGTACAACGGTTTTGGTTAATGCCTGACAATGAATAGAGCATTTGTCCCATGTTTTCTATGATGCAAGACTTTTGGAACCTTTAGTATTCTTTTAAGTGGTGTGTGGGTCATGGAAGGTTTGAAAAGATATTCAAAAGCCATAACTGTATGTTATGTTCTTTTGGGGTTTGCTTTTGTATGTTGCTGGTGGTAATTGATTAAACTTTTTCTTTCTGCTATGTCTCCTTACGTTGCTGAGATCTGCAATGTTTATGCAGATAAACATGGTGTATGAGAATATTGAACGATGGTCTTGTTTGACGTTTGATAACGATGTGCGGCAAAGAACAAATTTCTTTTACCTGTCGTTGTCGTTGATATTAGGTGTTTGTAGTTTGCTTTTGGATACTATTGGCTTAACAATGAAATGATGAATCTTTTTTAAAGATTGTTAAGATTGATTATATTGATTGTTTCACACTTCCTAGTTTGGACTGGATTTTATGGCATGATTAGTAGTGAACATTTTGAAACTTCACCTTTTCTCTTTTGAGTGGTGATAGTTTATTCATGTTGATCGGATTTTTCCTGTATGCAGCCGTTTCAAACAAGCAGGGTTAAACGGAGTAATGGACAAAGACAAACCTGTTGTGGAACAGTTCCTGATCTAGTATGTTAAAAAATTAGGAACAGTAATGTTAAGTCGTCCATCCAAACTGGCTCCAAGAGAGAGAGAGAGAGTGATTCCCTTTTTGGAAATGACCATTTACTGTTGTGCTGATACTTTGAAGGCGTTGGGGAAAGGGCATCGGAAGGTTTTACTTTTATGTAGTGTTTAATAACCCGGATTGTTGGGCAAACTGGCCATCTTGGAAATGGGGAGGGGAGACTTGGCCAATTAAAAAAATAAAATAAAATTGAAACCCATCTGAACCAGATCAGCTGATTCTGATCTGGATTAGCATTTTTCAAAATTCAAATGTTTTTTTTCAGTAAATGTGGTTTTAGTCAAAGTTCAAACATCCAAGTGTTCGTTTTGTTGACGATTTGGATTTTTACGAATTTGTAAGTTGGATGCAAAATGAAAATCAATTGCCCTAAAATTATAGGAATTTGTAGTTGGATATCTTCATGAAAACGAAAGTTGGTTTCCAAATGATTATATACTCTCGCAGATGATGTCTTTTATAGTTCCATATACTTCTTTGGATGGATTTTGATCCCTATTCCCAAATTTAGTGGATGTAATCTGTCCTAGAAGCTCGATAAAGGGAAGAAAAAATCACATGCACTGTTTATGCAAAATAATATATTATTTTGTTTTCTTTTTTCTGAAAAGCCAAAAGATTGTCCGTCTGCTTCCTCAGGCAAAACTGGTCCCAAAATTTGGGAATGTAAACCAATTTCTCTTAGGTCCCAAATTTTGGGAATTTAATATCTTTAAGGTGCTCATAAAAATAACCAAAAACCCTCTATGTGCTCATAAAAATAACATATCTCTAGATTGCCTCGGAACCACTTGATTTTTTGGGGGAAAAATGTAGATTTGAAATCTAATTTTTTTTTTTCTTTGAAAATTATCATCAAGTGATGCTTGGAACTTTTCAAGTTAAAGAATCCTAGGGATATAATCTCCACAATGCGGTAAACAAAAAAA